AAAAAAAAATCTTTAAAAAAAAAATCCAATGATAAAAGAGCCATAGTATATGTGAAGTCTATGGGGGCTAGAGGTGCTGGGGTGGGATGGGGATCTCCAGGGTTTTCAGCGAACTCACTAGGGAAATTGTAGAGGTTGAGTTGTCACCAACTCGGTGTAATCACCAGCATGACATTAGTTTAAAATGGAGTTGTCCCCCCTGGGCTCTGGTTTTTGTAGCCTGAGTCTCTGGAGGTTGTGTCAGTCCTGCTACAGCCCCACTTTCTACCCTGGTTCACCAGCATACCTGAGACTGATCCAGGTGTCACCATCACAGTGAGCAGCCAGTTCACACAGACATGTCCTTCTGAGACTCAGCCTTGCCTCTCCCCACCCCCTCTCCTGGGTCCTACTTTCTCGGGAGGACTGAACAGTGATTCCCCTACACTTTCAATGTGGAACAATGTGAGGTGCCTCCCACAAATGCTGGGTTCCTGCCTGGCTCTCCAAAGACAAGCCTGCCCCTTCTGGAGGTGGGACCTGGTAAGGGGATGCTTGGGTGTTGGAGATCAGATGAGGCCAGGCCTGGGGCCGGCTGAGTGGCTCAGTTGGTTAGAGTGTGAGCTCTGAGCAACGGGGGTCACCGGTTTGATTCCCACATGGGCCAGTGAGCTGCGCCCGAGCTGAGTTGCCACTGAGCTGCCAATGGGCAGCCAGGTAGCTCAGTTGGTGAGAGCACGTGCTCTGAACAACTGGGTTGCTGGTTTGACTCCCGTATGGGATGGGGGGCTATGCCCACCCACAAATAAGACTGAACATGGCACCTTGAGCTGAACGTGCGAGCTGCCAATAGGCGGCCAAATGGCGACTGGACTTGGAGCTGAGCTAGCTGTGCCCTCCACAACTAAGAATGAAAGACAACAACTTGGCTGTTCCCCTTCCCCAATTCCCCAACACTGTTCCCCTTCCTCAATTCCCCAATAAAATCTTAAAAAAAAAATCGTTTCTCAACCCTACATCTTTCTCTAGTTAAAAAAAAAAAAAAAAAAAGGAAGAGGCCAGTCCAGGTCTTTGGGGTCCTGCACTCAAGTGGATCACATGTCTGCCTCTGATAGCTCCAGGGGACTGACTCCTCGCCAATCAAACTCATGAGAGATGGCAACATCTGACTTAGAACTTGTGGGGTTGGGAGGGACTATTCAATCCAGTGACCAAAATATTTGCACCTGTTATCCAGACTAGCTTTTTATTTTCAGTTGAAATTTACATGCCAAGGGTATTGAAATATCAGGGAAGGGTCTGCTGTCAGTGGCCTGGCCAGAGGTAGAAGGATGTCTGAGTCCCAATGGCCCATCCATAGCAGGCCTCAGGGAAGAAGCAAAATTTACGAGGTGAGAGCCTGGCTGGGCTGACTCTTCTGTCGGGAAAAGCCTCCCTGCAGTATTTTCTGTCTCGTCAATGCTGCATTTCATTTTAAATTGCAGCTGAAAGCAGATATTTTCCCTCTTGCCTATTACACCTCTTAATTTGTCTCTCCCTCTGCTGTTATTTGTCTCTATAAAGTGTTTTGCATGAAAGACCCACACAGCACAATGTTGCTTTGCCCTGGGTTAGGTTGAACAGGAAGGGAAGAAGACACAGAGAGATCAAGTCCAAGAAGGAAGGTGTGAGGGCCTTGAGGTCGAAACCCATGTGTCTGGAAATATATGCCTGGTACTGTGTACATGTGCATGTTTTTGGACCTACCTGTTGTGTGTCTGTGGGTATGTGTGTATGTACACATGTCAATATTTTACTAATATGTATATATGTCTATATATGTTTTGGTATAATCAGTTGGTGTACGCATCTAAATTAGCGTATTTTTGTGCGCAAGTACACACCAACATGCAATCTCTTGAGTGCATATGTATCTATGCAAATGGGCACACACATGCACATAAACACACGCAAGCATCTAGGTATGCATGCCACATATGTGTGTGGTCTTCAGTGCATTCTACCAGAATTCTCTCTCCTCCCTTGCCCTCCCGCCGCTGCGTTTACCATCTCTCCCTGCTCCACCCAGGGGCCCTGGCCCAGTTTGGGGTTGAGGGGAAAGGAAGGCAGGGAAGTGGTCTGCGCGGGTCCGGTCGACACACTGCCTTAACCCGACTCAACCGCGGCCACACACAGCTACCCTGGCTTGTCTCCAATCACCCCTTTCTCACAGCTTGCCACAACAGTACCACCGCAGAGCCTGCGGAAGCTCTGGGGACCCCTGGGCAGTCCCCAGCTCCCTGCCAATCCTGGATTGGTACTGAAGGGTGAGAGGTTACCAAACGATGGCCAGAGCCCTCCAGACCAGCCGGGTCTCCGGCCCCCTGGGGGACCAACAATCAGAGTGATGAGGGCAGGGTCTAGAGGGGGTCTCGGTTGCTGCCAGTCCAGAGAACGCTGGGCACTAACCAATGGGCGACTGCGGCCCAACGGGGATCCCTCAAAGGCAGCCAATGACCTTGCTCCGCTCCCCACCCCGCCCTCGCCAACCCCGCGCAGCTGGACCATTGGTGCTGGTGGGATGGGGGGACTGTGCGCGGCGCTGGCCATTTGAGGGAGGGGGCGTGGCTTGGAGTACCGTTCCCCCCCCCTCGCCCCACCCTCGCTGGGGCCCCGCACTCCCTACCCCCAGACGTGAGGCCATTGGCCTGGCTGCGGCGCCGCTGCCGAGGTGGACCGCGGGGCGCGCGCAGTGGGCGTGGCCTGAGGGCGTGGCCCGGCGGGAGGCGGGGCCGCGGGCTCTCTCAGTGAAAGCCCGGGCTGCTGCGGCGGCGGTGGTGGCGGCGGAGGCGGCCGGGCGAGTGTGCGCGCGTGTGGGGCGCAGGCTCGGCAGCAGCGGCGGCGGCTCAGCCTGCAGCGGCAGCGGCCCGTCTGGAGCGGCCGTTGCGAGGACGCCAGCTGCAGCGGGGGAGGCGCAGCCGGTACTGCGCGCTCCGTGGAGCCGGCGGGGGCCGGGAACAGGTGATCCCAGCGGGAACCCGCAGCCCTACCGAGTTGGCGGGGCGGGAGCCCGCACTCCTGGGCGCAGCTGCAGCCTCCCCGCCGCCGCGGCTGGCCGCGGACGGCGCCCGGCTTTGGACCAGAGCTCTGGCATTCCTCCTGTCGCGGGGGCCCGGGAAGCCCCTTCCCCCGCAGGTTCAGAAGTGCCTGCTCCTCTGCCCGGTGCACGCTCTGCGGCGGGGCAAAGTTGTGGACGTGTCCCGATAGCTGAGCCCGGGCGCTGTCGCTACCCGGCCAGGTCGGCGCGCTCTCAGAGCGCCGCTGATACTCCAGCCCCGCCACCGCCTCGACCCCCGAGCCAGCCCCGTCTGGAAACTGCTTCTGAGGCTGAAACTTTGGGCAGAGGGGCTGAGGGCGGCTCGGTGCGGGGACGAGGCCTGCGGGCACCCCTCCGCGCGGACAGCCGGGGCGCCGCGGACGGCATGTGACGGCCCCGGCGGCGGCCGCAGCGCGGGAAGGCGCGGGCCCCGCGAGCTCCGGCCGCTGCGAGGAAGGCTGCGCGGCCGCCGGAGGGAAGGCTGCGGCGCGCGGCCGGCCCTTGCGGGCCCGGGCCCCGAGCCGTGCTGCCCAGCTCGCCCGGGCCCCGCCGAGGCCGCGGCGCCCCCTCCTGGGCACGGGAGGACTCGCTCCAAACTCCCTGAACTTCCTTCAGGGGCAGTCCCCGAAGCGGCGAAACTCTCCAGGACCCCAGTCCTGGGCGGCGTCCCTTGACGACCTCCCCTCGTCGAGCCCCCTGCTGACAAGTGCCTGGACTCCGAAGGCCTCAGGGACCCGGCCGGAGCTGACTGTCTCCAGCTCCGTGCCAGGCCACGATGCTCATGAGGAAAGTGCCGGGCTTCGTCCCGGCCTCCCCGTGGGGGCTGCGGCTGCCGCAGAAATTCCTCTTCCTTCTCTTCCTCTCGGGCCTCGTCACCCTGTGCTTCGGGGCTCTATTCCTTCTGCCTAACTCCTCTCGCCTCAAGCGCCTCTTCCTGGCCCCTCGGACACAGCAGCCCGGCTTGGAGGTAGTGGCCGAAGTCGCCAGCCACCCCCTGGCCCGCGAGCAGGAGTCGCCCCCCAACCCAGCTCCTGCTGCGCCAGCCCCGGGCGAAGACTATCCTAGCAGCCAAGCCAGTACCCGCCGCAGAAAAGGGTGGCTGCGTCGCACCCACCCGACCGGGCCACGGGAAGAGGCCACCGCGGCACGGAGCAGCGGCGCCGCGGCCCTCAGACCCCAGGAGGGGAGCATCTCATTTAGCTTTGACTTTAACGCGTTCCGGAGCCGCCTCCGCCACCCGGTCCTGGGTACTGGAGCCCATGAGATCGAGGAGCCCCAGAGCTTAGTTCGAACCCAGCGGGAGAAAATTAAGGAGGTAAGAACTCTCCTCTTCCCCGAAAGAAAAGCACCCCTCTTGTGCTTCCGTCCACTTCCCCTGGCCACAGTCAACTCCTGGTCCCTGGTCTGCTCTAGGCCCTGCAGGCACTGTGTGCACTTTACTTTCTCCTCCCAAACTTGCCACCTTTACTGCTCCCTGCTCACTTTCCCACCCCTGGGTTTAGTTAATGATCCCCATCCCTGAAAGATGGTGGCTGAATCACTGGACCAACTTTCCTCCCTCCCCCAGGCTCTGGTCTCTCTCGTCCGGTCCCCAGCCCAGGTGGGCTCCACTCCTTCCCTTTGTGGAGCTGCTAGTAAGAGTTTTGTGCAGTTTCCAGTAAGGGTCTTTAATGGACACCCTCTCTGCTTGCCAAGGGTCATGTTCTTTCTCCCTGTGTGTACTTCAGTCTTGACATCCCCCAAACCCCTGTAGGATCTGCTACCTGAAAATCTAGGATTGGGGAGGGGAGGGCGTATCTCGAATCCTGCAAGTCTTTTGTAATCTAGCCAGCAATCTACAAGTCAGACGATGTTGTGCATTCTTGCTAACTGTTTCTATTGAGCTTTGGAACAATTGTACATAATTGCATGTGATGCAGGAAGAAATGATCAATAAGGTGGTGGTAATGTTAGAGAAGCCGAGGTTGTTGGCTTAATGAAGCAGGTCTTGGACTTGTTCCTTGTAGGGATTGTACCAGGGAGGGGTTTAGAAGGACCACTTAGTTTAAGAAATCAGAAGCAAACACAGCCTCACCATGGCTGGAGGACTGTTTGTTGCCAAAGCTGCTCTTGGTACTTCAATGTTCTGCTCTACCACTGTCAGACTGCCTGCTTGAGGTTTTTGCCCAGCAATGCAGAGGGGACTGCAGTGACACCCCCGGGCCACGAGAGGGCCGTGGGCTAGCAGTGGGCCAAGGTCTCCTCCCTAGAAACCAGAAAATGCCCCCCACTCACTGTGGACCCAGGAGGAAAGGGCTGCTTTTGTGTGGACTTCTTGGTTTGCTACAAAGGAGTCAGCAGGTCCGCTCTGATTTCTGGGGGAGCAGGCAGTGAGGGCCAGGACCTGCCCTGCCAAGACCTGCTCAGAGCCAGTAGAGAGCTTAGCTGTACCTCTTTCCTTGTTGGGACTATCCTCCCTTTTAACACCCACCTCCCCCACTTCTTATCTCTCCTGTTACTCAGCCCTTCTAAGCTAAGCCTTGTTGGGAGACACTGTCTTAACTAGCAATCACAGGACATTTTGTGATATCAAGATAGGATGTCACAAAGATGAGTCCTTGTTTGGTGTGTGTGTGCATGCTCTCAATTTCCAAATTCTTGTTGAAATCTCAAAGGTTAATTAAAGGATGGAACTTGTGGTAGCTAAGGAAGGGGCATCATTTTGCTTAAGAAACAGTGTTGTTGAATACTCACTTGGACCACCCACTGCTCCCTTTCTCAAAGCTGCCAAGCACTTTAGCGCTTTCAGACTTCCTCAGAGGGCAGTAACTCCCAGAGAAATCACATATAAACTGTACGGATGTGGTTTTTCATGGGGTGTCCAGAGCTGCCATAGATTTTAAAAAGGATGCCCAAAGGATTAAAAGGTGCCTTCTGCATTTGCATCTAGATATGTGACCCATTTCTGAAAACCTGGGGTTGGGGGTCATGGTGGCCTGGCTAGTGGGGACTTGATTCTGCCCCATTGTACAAAAACAGCCTCCCTTGCTGGCAGAGGCTGTGGGTGTGACTTAGCTGCAGCAGCTGGGGGGTGGTGGGAGGTGTGGAGACTCTGCTTTGCAGGTGGGTGTAAAATAACATGATGGGCAGAGGTCTGTGTTGGTTGCCAGATATCTAGATCTTTCTATCTGGCATCTCCACGTGCGCCAGTAGTAACTGGAGGCCTGCTTGCATATATCTGAATTTGATGTTCAACAAGCCCTCTCTTACTATCTTGAAGACCTTAAGCTCCTCAGAATGGAGAGGGCTGAACTATATATACTCTGCTGTATTTTGAAGCCTGTTGTTTCTTCAGGCTTCTTGAGTTTGGACGCGCTCCCCCCGCCTCCCCCAACAACCTGAATAATATGGGGCAGAATTTTTGGTATAGCTGTTAACTCATAGTTACCTTCCCCGGTGTCCCGCCTGATGCAGAATACATATGACTATTGCTGGAGAATGTCTTCATTTTCTTCTCAGGGGGTAGATCATTGTGTAAAGATTCCTGTTTTCATAAAAGGGACTGTTGCTTTCCCCTCTTGCTTCTTTATTCCCAAACATGGATTGATTAGACCCCAGGAGCAGAGGGGGAGCTAGCATCTGATAAAAAGGACTCTGTTCTTATAAGATGAGGTTTTTAAAGTGAAAGTAAACATCAAGAGAGAGTCAGAGAGGGTGATAAATGAGAATGAACGAAGACTGGACACCTGGGCTGTAGATCACCGAAGTATATTTATGAACATTCCAGTTTGACAGATGGACATGGGCACGAGGTCTGTGCTGATAAGCTGGGTGGGAGCTGCTTGTTTTGGGAGCACATGCAGCAGGGAGCTTTCTGTCACCGGAACCAGCTATTTCTCCTCACTTTGCAACTTTGGAACCTTACAGGAGACAACGTGGTAAAAAGCAGAGACCCAGAGAACATGGGTTTGACAGTTCAGCTCAACAGTCAGCTTTCTGACTTGAGGCAAGCCGCCTCCTCTTTTTCCTGGACCGTATTTTGGGTTCTGTAAAACGGGGTGAGGGAGGGGAGCGTGGGCTGGTCACAAACACTCTTGCTTCCAGACCAGGCCTCTAAGTAGAGGGCCAGTCTGCTCAGGGACTCCTTAGGAGTTGGGCTTTTCTCAGCTCTGTTTTCAACGTGTTTTCGTGCCATGAGGTCATAGACAGTGGTGTACTGTAATTGTGGGTGATGGCAGTGGTGCTGACAGTGGTATCCCTAGCACCTAGTCAAGAGTAGGCATTCATAGAGTTGAGGAAGTGAATCATTCCTATCACCTATATTGAACTGTAGAGATGGGATTGAACAGTGACAGATCCTCAGCTTGGGATCATAAAGAGGAAAGGGGTTGGCGAGAACGTAAAACAGCTTGCTAGCAGCCTTCCCTTTCAGATCTGATTAAAACATAGGAAATTATTGTTAAAATTAGTATAGAGACCTCAACTACAGGTTAGTTTCTTATGGAGTCAAGTTCAACAGACTCTTCTCACTCGTGACAAGAGTTGGGAGTATATAGCTTGTCTGGGTTACATCCCAATGAAAGAATTCAGTCTCTCCTGGGTCCTACTAATGATGGTTGGTGTTGATCCAGGGAACCTCCGTGGTCCCTTCCAGCGCAGAGGGCTTTTGTTAAAGGGAACTGAGCAGCCTGGGGCAGTGAGAACACAGCACTGGAGTGGGGCTGCCCCTAGCCCATATGAAAAACGTGGGTTACATCCCCGTCCTCTCTGCCCAGTGCCCTTATGAACTACTGTAAGTGGCAGTCCCACTAAGAGCCCAACCTGGGTTCAAGTCCTAGCCATGCTATCAACTCTGACCTCAGGGGAAAATTCCTATTTATCCCTGAGCTTCAGTTTTCATGGTAAAATGAAGAGACTGGCATTTAGGGGACTCGCCGCACTCCTTCACTCCCACCTGTTTACTCTTTTGTTGATGGATCTGCTCAAGCACCTAGAGTAGGGTTGGACACCTGATTGGAGCTCAGAGAATTGAAAGAACGGCTACAGTAAAGATCTGTAAACTAGCAATTACGGTTGCTGGTGGCAGAGGCTGGGCCTTCTTCCTGAGGGTACCTGGAATTCTGAGTCTCAGAGTAGGGGGCCACAGCAAGGTTTCAGGGCTTATCAGCCCTGTGACTCAAGAGGCCTTTTAGAAGTTGCAGTAATTTTCCAAGTGCAAGTTAACCTGAAGGGAGTGGGGAGGGGGCAGCTATGAGTAAAACCTTTCATGCCTGGATAGCAGGCATCTGGAGAATGCCCGCGTCACCCTGGAGTACCTGCGACTTGGCAGGGAGTGCCCTGGCCCCTGCCTTCCGTGGCTGCTGTGTTAAGTCTCCAGGATATTGCTGGTTATGATATGTGACTACGTCTGAATAAGTCATCTTGGCAAATGATCTTTACTCCCCATTAATGGGCTGGTTCGTTAGTCATGTGTGGTTTCTCTGTATATCTGATTTATTGTCGCTAGTGCCAGGGGCAGGTAGGAAAATTAAAAGGCTTTGTGTTCTTTGTAGCATGCGAATCTGAGCCTGTGAGATGTTCAGGATAATTAATATTAGGAACACCTCAGATTTAAATAGCTTTCCTTTGAAGAGCTCTGTTTAAGTTGCAAGTCCATTGACTATCTCCCCCCCCCACACCCCCATCCTTCAGTTTCACTCTTGTCTTGCTCTCTGATACATTTAATATAGAAAGGAAGACTGGTCTATAATAACGGACAGGTCCTATGGGAGACCCTTATATCCTAAGCTCAGCCAGACACTTTATCCTTCAGAGCACTGCAAGGAGAGCTTAGAACTTGTTCCTGCCAGGTGAACAACCGAACACCCACAGGTTGGGTGGATTTCTACTTTCATTTTGAGTTGCATCATCACTTTGGGGAATTAGGTGTGGGTACTTGAGGGGCAATTACTTCTCAGGCCTCACATCCCTAAGTCTGTCTTAAGTGTTAGGTCCAGAAACAAATAGTACAATGACATTTAAAAGTCAGCGACTTATTTCGCAGTGTAGTTAGCAGGGGGGTAATAATAAAGATTCCCCAGCTGTTTTTAGAGTGACTGATTTACATCCCAGCTCAAGAAATGCCTTTCCTCTAGCTTCCCCTGAAGACTGATCCATTACTCCACCAAAAATAAATATTGTGATATATATCAGGCATATTTTGCTCAAAGGGACTTACGTCTTTTCTCTTATTGAAAAAAATAAATCAACCTTGCAGATTGGAAAGCCCTGTTCAGGGAAGCGGTTTGGTAATCTAGGTGGGCACCCAGCCTTGTGGTGCCGCCTCCGGCGTGGGGA